TGACAGCTTGCTGTTTTAACTATATAAATACTAATGACTTTGTTTTCACTCTTCGACTTTTCCGATTGAGTATAAGAGTATGAATTCAATTTTATTTACTCTTATCGCCACCATCATCAACTTTGGCCATTGTAAAATTTATGTTACACGAAATTCACCACCACAAAACTGGCAAAAGGATACTATACCATCAGACAGTGATACAATACAATTTTATATAGCGTGTAAACATGATCAAGAATCAGTTGAATGGTTAGAAAAACTATTTTGGAAAAAGTCAGATCCGTTGAATTCAGAAGAATATCAACAATGGTTATCATATAATGAAGTACAAAGATTAGTTAAACCAAAAAAACATTCACATGATAAAATATTAAAATGGTTATTAAAATTTATACCTCAAAATCATATTATAGATTATAAGGATTCTTTTAAAATTAAGACTGAAGTACATTATGCTGTTAAATTATTTGAAAGTAAAACAAAATTTAGTTATTATAGACTTAAACAACGTCCTGGTATCAAAATTATACGTTTAGATGGTGATTGTCATGTAAAAGAAAGCATATTTGAACATATAGATATGATTACGGGTTTAGATGAATTTCCTAGAGATATACCAATAAGAGTAGTACCAACAGCAGGACTCAGTACACAACTCGATATAGTTGTCCCACAATTTATAACAAAATACTATCATATACCAAATGTAACATGTCAAGGCTTGCCAAAGCCAGTATCACAGGCAGTTATTGAATTTTTGGGTGAATTTTATCTTGAAACAGATCTGCAGTTATATTGTAATCTTACATCAACACCGTATAAAGCATTAAAACCTGAACATATAATTGGTTCAAATAACTTTACTAATTTTACATTAGATTTTTTTGAAACAGCTCTTGATATGGATATAATGATTGGCCTTAATCCATTAGCCGATTTATGGTATTTCAATACTGATCCATATGATAATAGATGGTTATATATATTCACAATGATAGCTAATCATATGAAAGTTTTGCCTGAAGTAATGTCAATATCATATGGTAATCCAGAAAATACAAATTGTGTGGGTGAGGTTGATTGTGATTCATTTAATCAATCATCACATTTGGAAGAAATATTTATTAAACGTGTTAATATTGAATTTATGAAACTTGGTTTAAGAGGTGTCTCAATTGTTGTTTCATCTGGTGATGATGGTGTATATGGTTATAATAATACTGATTGTAAAAGTACGACATTTATTCCACAATATCCAGCGTCATCCCCATATGTAACAACATTAGGTGCCACATATTTAAAAAATCAACAATATCAACAATTACAAAATGCACCGCCAATATGTATAAATAATCCACTTGGTCGTTGTGTTAGTGGTGGTGATGAAGTTGCTGTTTCATATGAAAATGATCATTTTACATCAGGTGGTGGCTTTTCAAATTTACAGTCAATGCCATCATACCAAAAACATGTTGTAGAAGAATATTTGTACGAGCAAAAATGTCAATTACCATCCTCATCAATGTTTAACCGCACTGGTCGTGCATATCCTGATTTATCAGCATTAGGTAATTTTGCCTTGGTTGTTGCAAATGGCTCATTAGGTCTTGTAGGCGGTACATCGATGTCATCACCCTTATTTGGTGCGTGCGTATCTATATTGAATTCATATTCGAAACAATTAACTAATGGTAGAACATTAGGTTTTCTGAATCCATTATTATATTTAATGTATGAAAAAGAATCAACTAAAATATTCAAAGACATTACTGAAGGTAAATAAAATTATTATTACTTTTAATTATTTGTCTTAATTTTCTTGTTTCTAGGTAATAATCGTTGTACTACACAGACCTGTACAGCTGATTGTAAAGGGTTTTATGCATCAGAAGGATGGGATCCAGTCACAGGTTTAGGTACACCGAATATTCGAGAGATGTTAAAATTTATAAAAGCTTTAAACAGTACAAGAATTGATAATGAAAAATACTGAATATAATTAATAAACAGAGTAATTAGTATACGAATTAATATTTAATTGTTTTTGTGGAATATGTTCATTCTATTGTGTTTGATTATGCTTATGAAGCACATGTATCACGCACCATAAATTGTTTGAAATAAACAGGTAAATCCTTTAGTTGCTTTATTCTAATGCTAACAGCCAACTGTTCTGAGGATATTCGGCATACAACATGTCCAAAATTTCTCTTAATAATTTTCATAAAGATACCAATGGGGTTATTGATGCTGACGAACCGAAAGCGCGAGCAGCTCAGAGAAAAAAGAAAATTGAAAAGCAAC